TATTACAATATACTCGTTAATAATCTTTAATCGTTTTATTTAATATCGTTTATCCTTAATTTTTTTTAAGCCCGTTATAAAATAATTATATTAATTTTTTATTATTAATTATACTATAAATTATATTTATTTTAAATATTATAATATAATTAATAATAAATTAAATTTATTTAAAATTAATTAATCGCTTTTAAATACGTTTACTTTCGTTATACTTTCTAAATACCTCCTTAATTTTCTTTTTAAAACCTTTATACGACTTAAAGTACTTCTTTATAATATCCTCTCTCTTATTATATTTATTATTGAAGTAATTTCTTAAAATCGGTTCGAACTAAGTAAATACTTTATTCTTAAGCTAGAACGTAATATATATAATTTTAGATTTTTTATTTAGAAAACGAAAAAGGTAGTACCGAAAGTAAATTTTAAATTAAATTAGGAACTCTCTTAACTTTCCCTTTACGCTTCTATAGCGATCGGGTACCTCGAGCTTAGTACGCTTTCCCTCCCTACGTAAGGTACTAATTTTTTGGTGGAGTATAGTATTTTTTTACGTAAGAGTATTATAGGAAAGGCGTAATTTATCTTTAAGTTCTTAAATATAAGCGAAAAGCTAGTCGATAGTAGGCTAGGTCGAGCCCCCCTAAGTACTAACGTTTCCGGCTATAATATTATTTTAATACCTTTAATTTATCCGTAATAAAGTTAAAGTAAGTATATAACGTATAACAAACCTTTATACAGAACCTTTAAAAGGGGATACGGGTTAAAGGTAATTTCTGATAATTAGTTCGGTGTAGCTAAACAGTGCATAATAAGATGTCTCGATATAAATACAAAATGCCGTAAATACAAGCTTAAATTATATACTGCGGAACTATTTATCTATACTAGCTAGTTCCTCCGTATATATAGGGTGTAGATAAACAGTTCCGCAGTATGCAATTTACAGTTATATTTACGGCATCTTATGTTTACATCGAGACATCTTATTGTGCACTATTTAGCTGCACCGAACTAATTGTCAGAAGTTACCTTCAACCCGTATCCCTTTCAGAGGTTCTGTATAGGGGTTCGTCACATATAGCTATACGCTCCAGTAATAAGCTATAGGTACTAAGTATTAAGTCTTCCGCTATTGCGAGTACTGTGACAGCATGTCTATGTAGGACCTACAGGCTTATATAGGATATAACTTTTAATAACTATTATAGACTAGTGATTATAATTATAGCTTAAAGTTTAGAATTTATTAGGATTTTTAGAGGATTATAGGTAATTCATTTACCTATATAAATTTTGTGGTGGAAAAAATTCGTTAATATCATGTATATACTACCGGCATTTTCGCTTGCAACTTACAGCAGTAGCCCCTATACTACAAAATTATTAACATACAAAAGTAGGTTAAGCACCTATTATATAGTGAACCATGCCTTGAAAGACAATTATTAGACCTTTCAAAATAGTTAATAAGCTCTTAAAGATAGTTAAAAGGCCTTCAGAGATATTTAAAGAACCTATTAGCTTGCTTTTGAGGCATGGTTTATGATATAATGGCAGAAAGTTGGGACCTGGGAGTGTTGACATCTACAGGCAAGTGACACCTTCTTGCCAACGGATCGAACCGGCTGGCAGCAAGGGACGGGAAGCTGCAAGGGGAGAGAGCGGTTGCCTTATCAGATCCTGTCAGGGACAGGGATCAAAAGAGGTGAGCTGGAAGGGTTGCTCTTGCAGAAAGCAAATCAAACAACTACTATTGAATGGCGGGTTAAAGGAAAAAGTGCTCAACAGAGGGGAGGCTTGGAATACAATACTTTGTACAGCAAACTCTCTTATCTAGAGAAGAGGATTCCTGTGTCTTTTGAAGTAGAGCCGATCGCCTCGCGATATGGGAGTCCCATCGTTCATTTTGGAGATGGAGCTTCAACCGTTGACGAGGTGGGGTGGCTATTTGATGGTGGGGGTCCCAGGGAACATCGCAATTGCAACGGTCGCCAGCATGCGGAGGGAGAAGCAGGTCCAAGAGATCGGTCTGGCAGGTGAGGGTGTCCCATCTTGGCAGTGATGGAGTGGACGGGCGGGCATATTAAACCACCAGACTGTCCCACGCTGCTAATCGTGTTCCCGAGACCCCGCCACCCAATCGACATGCGGTTGCCGTGTTGCAGGCTGTTTTGACATCTCTCACAAATCTTACTGACGGTATACCAGGCCCGGACTGGATAATTTCAGTTGTGCCAGATTGGGAATCTCCATGAGCATACCTTAGGCCGAATCTTCTGGCAGTCCCTTCCCTGGAGCAAAATCAGGCAAGCAGCTCCCGACATCCGACCTTCAGCGTAGATTCAAGATCTGAGTTTTGTTTATTTTCACACCTCAAGAACAGAGGCCACGCTCTAGCTAAATCGACGCCCCGAATGCCTTCAGCGTGTCACCAACCACACAACGTTCGCTCAACGGATAGCTCCAGACCGCTGCCCGCTGCCAACATCAGCCAGCCAGCCAACAACTCCCACGAAATCCTGACGGAAGAGGCGTTATTAAGCTTTCAACACCAACGTCAACATTTCTCCACCTCGGCATTTGCCAACGATCTCGAATCTTCCTGTACCGACGACACCTGGCCCGTGAGCGTCTCAGCTTCCAGGAACGATTACAAGCACAGTCACTGGAAGACAGTCCTCGATGGTCACAGATTACCAGCCCAAGACAGTATTCATATCCATATCTTGGCCTCATCGATATCATCATCGACACAGTACCGACCCTGGTTGTACATCACGGCTGTGTACAAGGCTCTGGTCTAGGCCTCAAGCCGAGGACGAGAAGCCTCCACTTCACAATGGCAACATGGAGTGGCCAACGGACACGCCTTACAATGCTCTTACACATCATCCTATTCACGTCTCTGTCGAGGGCTGCTAAGGTCATGTTCACGACAGGGACAGATGTTGATGGTGTGACACGAGAACTCGCTGCAAATCGGTATCCAGCTCTCTATACTGGTGATTATGGCGACTGCATGGGCGGAAACAGTCTATTCAGCATCAGCAAATTTGATGCTGCGTATTATGCCGACAACATGACGATAGTGCTTCATATGGACGGCACTAGCAGTTTGAGGAACGAGTCCCTGATGATGCGCATTTCTGTTGACGCATATGGCGAGAACCGATTTGATAAGATCGTGAATCCTTGCAACCTCAACATTGCTAGGTGAGTCCGAATTGGCTCCGGACTTGAAAGACGTATACTTACAAACATGCAGTCTATGTCCTGTTCTTCCTGATGTGCCATTCCGAGCCTGGGTAGAAATTCGTGTTGGCCCACAGCAGATAGGGGGCATACCTAACATTGCTTACGAGATACCCGATTTCGAAGGCACGACTCGAGTGCAAATCTTTGCCGGCTCTGGTCAACAAGAGGCTGGATGTTTTCAAGCTGCCATGCAGAACGGGAAGAGTCTTTCGCACGCGTATGTTATCGCGCCCTTCATGGGCCTTTTCACAATGGTCGCCATCATCGCCTCCTTTTCCACTGCGGCATACGGAATAAGCGTCCCTCACATGAGGATGCACCACGCTCATTCGCTCTCGGTCTTCATCGTATTCGAAACCTTCCAGACGATATTCTTCTCGGGGGCACTTTCTGTCAAGTGGCCATCGATCCTCGTTGCATGGTGGTCAAACTTTGCCTGGTCCGCTGGCTTCATCTACGCGCCCCCTTTTGTCCAGTCGATCAACTCTTTTGCAGGCGTCCAGGAGGAGCTAGGGCACGTCGTATGGTTCCGGTCCTATGATTATCAACAGAGGAGAGCATTTAGTTGACCAGATCTATGGGCGATCTCTGATGACCAGGGGCTCGTTCAACGCCACTGATCCTTGGCGGTATGAATGGGGTGGTGATCCAGTAGCCCTTGGGTTACCACTTCCAGGCACTTGGAGTGGCTTTCCTGCAACGCTGGCGGCTATTGGAATTCCAGCTGCCGATGCCTTTGTGTTCGGCTTGCTTTGGTTTCTGATAGCCGTCGCTCTGGTCATGTTTGTCGTCATTGGTGTCAAGATCTTGTTTGAGGGTCTCGCGAAAGCGAGGCTGGTCAAAGAGGATAGGCTTGCCTACTTTCGCAGCTACTGGGTCGGATTCCTCGGCCATGCTCTGTTACGAACACTGGTCATTGGGTTCTTCATGCTTATGACCCTGGCTATTTTCCAGTTCAAAATTCGGGGCTCTGTTGGCGCGATAGCAGTTGCGGCTGTGGTATTCTTCGTTGTTTTGATGGGGGTGACGTCGCTAGTGGCGTATGGGGTCTGGTGTCGAACTCGACACGGTACTTTCACCATCACGAAGGACCGGGCTGTTTTCTACCGATCAACGTGGCGTGTTTCAATAATTTTGGAGACCAGGATAAAGGAGCACAACTTGGAGGTCAAGCCTATCCTCAGCATCCCAGTCTACCGCCTTCGACACAACAACCACGACGACGACTACCCTACCGTCCATCTAGATCAGCTGTACGTTAAGAGATTTGCATGGCTCACAGCGCGCTACAGACGCACACGGTGGTGGTTCTTTGCTTACTACATTACATATTCATTTGTTCGAGCAGCTTTCATAGGAGGAGCTGGGGACGTTCCTCTTGTGCAGGTTTACGGTGTACTGGCGCTTGACATAGTCAACCTTGCCATCAGCGCTATCTCAAAACCCTTCGAAGGAACTCGAAACACGGCTATGGGTGTCTGGGTACTCGGCCTTTGCAAGATATTGACCACCGGCATCTCGATTGCTTTTCTTCCTCAGCTCAAAGTCAACCGTATCATCACGACTGCGCTCGGGGTAATCATCATTGTGATCCAGGGTTTCACTACCGTTGCCTTGATCATCTTGATTATCTTGAGCGCCCTTTCTTCGAGGCTTTCGCTACTACGGAATCAAGAAGAGTTCACGCCACGATGGCTCGACAAGGTTCGCATCCGTTATTTTGAAAAGATGCAGACAAAGGCACAAGACAGATGGAACCCCCCCAGGGGACTGGTCTCGAAGGATGATGAGATAAAAGGACCAACAACACCGCCATCGCCACACTTTTCCGTCACTGGTGTTCGACGTGGCTCTAAGATCGAAGATGACTTTGACGGCAGCACTGTATACAATTCGCAACAGTCGCTCCGTGAAAAAGGAAGCGACCAATCCTTGACCGAGCAGCCTCGTGGCCGTCACAGCCAGGCTGGTAGTGCCAGATCTCGGCTGAGTACGGGGAGTCTGCCTCGGACGGGTCGTGCGAGTCGCATGTCGTGGTCTTCAAGAGAGTGTGCGGATCCGGCTTTGCTAGAGCGGCCGGATAGTACTCTCGCCAAACGGTTGAGTGGAATCACTTTTACCGTTACACCAAACGATGGCAGTAGCATGATGACCAGGGACAATGCCAGGGTGTCGGGTGAATCGACCACCTCTCACGTCCGACCGCAAGCCAGCTACCGCAGCTTCAGGTCACAGTCCACGTCGAGGGCGTCGAGTATCCATGAGAAGGCCAGCACTCCGACACCGACCCGGGAGACGTTTGGGTTGCCGGCGCTCACTCGTCCATCGACATTGCCAGAGGCTGCGGAACCAGACGAGTAGTCTTGCAAGACGATACTTCTTCAAATTAGGATGGTTGTAATAATGTCACGGCAACAGCGTCACGGACTTTTTCTTGTCTCTCGTTTATGAGTCAGTGTTGAATAGAATTCTGGGGGTCTTTGATCATGATTTTCTTGGGAGGAATCTTGCATAGTGGGTGTTTTGGCGTCTTCCTGGGCAGGTACAACTTTACACTTTACATCTTTTTGCAAAATCCAACATTTTTTCCCACTTACTCTCAATCCTCGTGAGAACAAACATCAACTCCCGAAAACAGCGGGGAAAGGGGACCCCCAGAGAGGAATAACATAGTCCCCTGTTGTTTCCCGCGGGTTGGGTAAGCCTGCGTCATCCGTTTAGCGACCCCGCTTCAACTCCCGAGCCCCTCCACGGTCCCCTCTCGCAGTCCCCGAATGCCCCACATGAAGGGCCTCAGATCAGTTGGGTTTGTTTGCTCGGTCCCAATTGTCCGGGCTTTCGGTCCTTACATCATGGGGGTTGTCACTGCTTTGGCGGGTTGTACCATTGGGTGATGGGGAGTCGGGATTCTTTACCCAAACTCCTTGAAACTAGCTTGGTGATGGCTGGGTTGGTCTGGCTCTTTTCGGTTCTGGATCCCCGGGTAAGTAAAGAGCTTACAAGGTCATGAGGTGATGGTTAGTCTGATTAGGAGATGATTGTATAAGAGCCGGTGGGTGGATATATATGGGCATAATTACACCACAGGGCGCAAGACAGGCGGAGGTTTTGTTGCCGGGAGGTACCTTATAAGATATAGCCTGCCTGCCGACCAAACACTTTTCCATTCCTCTATGTCTTTCACCCATTGATATCTCTTACCTCCCCTCTGTCGCGTCTCGACAAGCGAGAACACACACACCACCACCGGCACACCGCAAAGAAGAGAACATACGCAGAATGGCGGAACCGCGCAGAGAAAACTCCGGCCCTGTCGGCCCGCCGCTTTTGGACTTGACGATTGACAACATCACGCCGAATACCATCAGGATTAACAGCCAGTCGGACGACCAGCGGTTGACGTATTTGCTGTCGAGACTGGTGACGCACCTGCATGACTTTGCGAGGGAGACGCGGCTGAGCACGGACGAGTGGATGGCCGGGCTGGAGTTTTTGATTGCTTGTGGGAAGATCTGCAGCGAGGTGCGGAATGTAGGTCGCATCTGTTTCCGACATCTGGTGGTTCAGGGAGGGCGGTAGGCAGCAAGGTATCAGGTGCTGATGTGGGGAGACAAACAGGAATTCATCCTCCTCTCCGACACCCTCGGCCTCTCCCTCCTCCTCGACAACATCAACCACCCCAAACCCGCCGGCGCAACCGAGGGCTCCGTCCTCGGCCCCTTCCACACCCACGATGCGCCCCTCCTCGAGAACGGCGCCTCGATGACCTCCGACCCGGCGGGTGAGCCGATGCTTGCCGTTTGTACCGTCAGAGACACGGCTGGGAACCCCATTGAGGGCATCAAGATTGATATCTGGGAGACGGACAGCAGCGGGCATTATGACGTCCAGCACAGCGACCGGAACGAGCCGAGCGAGAGGTGCGTCATGCTGAGTGATGAGGAAGGCCGGTTCTGGTTCAAGGGTTTGAAGCCGGTGAGCTACCCAATCCCGCATGATGGGCCGGTGGGGAAGCTGCTGGAGAGGCTGGGGAGACATCCGTGGAGGCCGGCGCATATTCACTTCATGTTTGAGAAGGAGGGTTGGGATAAGTTGATCACGTAAGTTTTCACCTTGGCCGTGCTTTCTGGGAGGAATTGGGATGCTGATGATCAGATAAGGGCACTGTACCTTAAGGGTGACCCCTACGAGACCTCGGATGCCGTCTTTGGCGTCAAAAAGAGCCTCGTTATCGAGCTTGGCAAGGTAGACAAGGAGACAGCGGAGAAATATGGGGTCGAGGAAGGCACATGGCTGCTCAAACATGACTTTGTGCTCACCACGCAAAAGGACACAGAGAAGCTGAGAGACGACCTGGCCAAGGAGGCGTTGGCAAAGTTGGGCTTGCATAATCTCAAGCTGGTGGATCATCTGCCTGTGCCAGATCTAGATTAATGTTATCAACCGGCTTTTGCTGTTTTTTGTTTCGGCTTTTTGCCCTTTGACTTTTTTCCCAACCGACGGGCCAGTGTCGTTGGCTTCGTGCTCGTGGGTTGACGGTGGCTGCTTCATCAGTCGAACCACAGCATCGAAGTAACCAGCGGTGCCGCCGTATTTGTGCACCAAGGCTGGGATATCGACCGAAGAGATATCTCCAGTCCGCTTACGTCCAACGATCGCTGCGTTGCGTGTAGATGGGATCCGGAGCATTTCCTGCTCAACCTCCCAGCCGCATTCAGCTGCTATCTCTGACACCCATCCCACGAACGAGGAGTAGGTCGAGTCGGCCTTGGTCTTGTCCTTTGGTGGCGATGCTCGGAACAGCTTTCCGCTGAGATCATGGCTGCAGCAAGGGATAGAAATGAACGGACAGTCGGAGACAGCCGCAAGGATAGGAGTCCAAGGCGTCAGCTCGTCGGCGTGGTTGGAGATGATAAATGTCCCTTTTGGAAAGACGCCATCATGGGCCTTTTGTTCGTCAAAGCCATCACCGGACCCGCCTCTGCTGACATATGTTGGCAGCAAAGCCAGCTCACGAAGTGAATCTTGCTCCTCCCCCGACAAAGACCTGACTCTGGTGCTGTACGACGCTCCACGACGTTCGTGACCTAGCATCGAAGCCCCAACCGGAAAACCCTTCTTGATTTAGAATGTGGACGAGCAGCCCATTCCCGCAGCCAACATCAACGAATCCAGGAAACGGTCCCTCGCCATACATGTCCTTCCACAGCTCGATCATGAAAGCTGCGATACAAATGTCCTCAAAGATGTGTTTTTCGGGATCCGTCTGCTCTGCCCAACCCTTGATGAGACTTCTCGCATGCTTTTGTTTCAACTTGGTGTACGTGTCTTGCACCCGCGCTTGAGGAAGCAACACATCGTGATGGACTCTCTTCTGATAGCCCTGAACCCGGCCCTTGCCGTGCTTGTGAATGACCATGAGCAGCTGGAAAGCGGTCCGTATGAGCTTGTCAACGGTTCGGTCCTGCTCGTCAAAGAAGAGGTAGGAGAGGGAGATGGACCCGCAGGACTCTGCCGGCGTCCATTCGTGAACAAATGCTATGCCCTTGACTACTGGGTGGTAGAAGGGCATATCCGAGGGCGTGGATACATGCGGGAGATAGATGACGAGAGTCCGCTCAACCGCCTCCCCACCAGGGTTGCTCTTGTAGATGAGGCATGTCTGGTCAAGAGGCTTGTCTCTGAGGGTGTTTCTTGGTATGAGCTTGCGGATGACATGCCGCTGGAGCTCAAACCCGACAAAGGAGGGAATGTCGGCCACGAAGGCCAGGCTATCAGCCTCGTCGGCTGGGGTTGCCGGGTTGGCGGGACCATCCTGTGCGTCGTGCAGGATATCCGCACGGAAGAGCCATGTCGAGTTGATGTTTGGATTTCGGATCAAGTTGTCCATGACACTGTCAAACACCGGAGGTCCAAACGCACACTCGTGGCGGTACAAGGGTCGCCATGTTGCCTTTGTTGGGGTGGTGTGTGTGTTGCCGCTGCTGTGACCGGCAGCCTCGAAGATGACGGGTGGTGCGTCAAGCGCCAACTCTTCCGGCCTGAATGCCATTGCGAGCCACGGCTGCTTTCTGTGTCTCGCGCTCGGGTCGTCACCGGTCGTGTATGAGGCGAATCACTGCCGTCGGTCGAGGGACAGGCTCACCTCACAGGGGTCGGCCGAGAAGGCGGCGGAGAAGCACCGAGGGGCAAAAAAAGGCTTGGCGCAGGGCCCTGGTGGTGAGCTTGTCACAGTGAACCAGTCCCCGATGGTGGCGGATGGTTTTGACATCTTGTGCCTGCTGAGCCTCTCGAAGCCTGTCTCGGGTCTCCATCATGATGGCCTATGACTGGGCTTCACCATTGAATTATGTGAGTTTACACCACTGGTGACACATCTATGGCAAACGTTACATGTCCAAATCCGGAGAAGACTGGCAAGCATCGGGTCCCATGTCATTGATTCGCATCACCAAGTCCACCTGCCCCGCGGCCCAGCCGACGGAACGGCGGGCTTCCCGTCGATTAGTCCAGGGCAGCGATCGATGAGTTGCAGCCGCGTTGCATTCATTCATTGACTTTGAGAAAACAGAAAACAGAAAACAATGCTTTGACGGCGCAAAAGTTTCAATACAGGTTGACTGCGCAGACCCGGAGGCATCCTGTCGTCCCTGCTCTCGTTATCGGATAGAGAATTGCTCTGGCGAAGAACGAACGAATGAACTCCCAAAACGGTGAACAGTGTTGGGTGACCAGAGCCTTGTGACGCAACATCCCACCCCTGCAATATGATATAGCGAAGTACCCCGAGGTAGACAAAGAGGCAACCTGTAGGAGGTTCCGCAAGCTTCACTCTCCGAGGTACGCGTGCGGTACGTTTGGTGAATCACTGCCCCACCCCTTCGTAGATGGCGGTGCCTTAGTGGCCAACCCAACCAGGGCCTTTTTGCTGCCTTGTTGCCTGAAAAGACCGTTCGCCCCACCTACCCATCCTCCCTCTTCCCCTCACCTCGCCATTTCCACTCTCTTCCCCTTCTATCTACCGGACCTAATCATCATCTTGCCATCCACCGCAGCATCACCGCCCGCATACTTTCTCGGCACCCCGAAAGCTATAACTAGCCCACCCAGCACTCCCGATTTTTGACTCTGCACATAGCGAGACACTCTACAGTCGTCGGTCGCTCTCTTCCCCGTCACCAAATAAAACCCTTCTCCCAAGGACACCCCGAAAACTTCGAGTTTATGTCCACCGAAATCGAAAACCTCAAGACCTACGGTACGTTCATTATCGTTCTCGCACACCACCCATTACCCGCGTTTTCGTGCCGCCAACGTTCTTGATGGATGTTGACGGCGCGTCACCGTCATACGCAACCTCGTTCACAGCCTTGTGGAGTCACTGCCACCTGGTCCACGTCCAAAACATCGAAGCACATTGCGCCGTTCATCAAAGAAACATTGCTGACCGCCACTTGTCCTACAGATCCCTTCGCCGAAGCCGACGAGGACTCGGGCAAGACCAAACAGACCCAGGAGTATATCCATATCCGCATTCAGCGTATGTGTTTGCACTTTATCGTCACGTGGTCCTGGCCTTGAGCTGCCAACCACGTGTGAGTTCACCGACAACAAGACAAGTGCTAACATTGTCACAGAGCGTAATGGACGTAAAACTCTGACCACCGTTCAGGGTATTCCGAGCAAGTTCGACCACAAGAAGATTCTTAAGGTTGTCAAGAAAGAGTTCGCTTGCAATGGCACCATCATCAGTGACACCGAGATGGGCGAGGTGATCCAGCTCCAGGGTGATCAGCGTACCAAGATCAAGGAGTTCCTCACTGATAAGGAGAATGGCCTCGGCCTCGATGACAAGACCATCAAGGTATGCAGCATCTACACCGTCACAACACACCGAGACAGCACGCTAACTGATACTCGGCAGGTGCACGGCTTCTAAGTCCGGCATGTCACACGTGCCGTAGCTCACTTCGAGTCCCCCTCTGGGGAATACGGAGCAGCGTCTACGAAAGTAGTCACTACGAGCGCTGAGAGGACCCTTGGTTGGGTCCAGCGGCATAATGACATGATACCCCACGATGGTTACGGACGTCCTTTTTCCCTTAGCAACATTGTTGCAGGAGGTTTTTGGGAAGGGAAGGCTCTATTTTTTTGCGCGATACAGATCGTCGTTCGCTTAGGTAGTCGATTTCTGGTGGTTTTCAAAATCTCTGGAACGATGCAAGACGCAAGCCTTTCATTATGAAATCTGCGGTCTTGGGGCAATGGGATCATAAGTTGCGATAAACTTGTGCCATGACTGTCTTGATATGCCTGGTTTGATATGTGTACGCTGCATCTGTCAACCAGCTGTGCTCGCAACGACTGCGTTGTTGTCTGTTTGAGTCTGATACATGTTGCTGTTGTGACTGATGACTTGCTGCCATCAAATCGTATCAAGCCGAACGGGATTATCACCATGTTTTTTGCGTGTGAACAAGATCTAAAGATAACCATGACGCCAATGCTACCACATTTGCCTGAACCATTCCCCCATTTGACCGTTTCCACAATCCCAATCTTGAAATAAGGATAGGTATAAAACTCGAGCCCAGAAAAGACAGAAAAAGAAACAGAAAAAAGAAACAGAAAACAGAAACAGAAAAAGAAAACAGGAACGGCAACTTGACAAGATCCAAGATGACTCCCTCGAAAAGTGCCCGAAATAAAACGAAACGAAAGAGACGTGTTAAAGATCCCTCGTCACATTCCCATACTCCATAATCTTGAGCGCCAGCCCCGTGATGACCCCCCAGACCTGCGACAGAAAAGTGACGAGCGGGATGTCGGGATAGTCGGTGCGGTTGGAGTGCAGCTGGGCGAGGAGGGCGACCATGGAGGTGAAGGAGGCGATGGAGAAGGCTGAGATGGAGGCGCGGGTTTCCTTGCGGATGTTGATTTTGCGTTGGGTTAGGTGGTAGAGGAGGGTGAGGGTCTAAGGGACGGTCAGGTTGGTGACAGGATGGGAGAGGGAGGGGGACACGTACAGTAGATATCACTATCCAGCCTGGTAGCAGCAGACGGGGATCCTCGGAGCCGCCGGTTAGGTAGAGGACCCCCCATGTGCACCAGCCGTTTAGGGCTGATATGGCGAGGAGGCGGACGATGGTGGCTTGGGGGGTGTAGTTCAGGAGCCAGCGGGACATGAGGCAGTCGGTGAAGAAGAAGGAGAGGTAGGAGGAGGCTACGCACTGTTGGAGAGTTAGCATGGCTTCGGAGATGGGGGGGGTTTGGGTGGCAGATATACCCAAATGGTAGCGAGCAGCGTCTCTGTTATCCTCAGGGTGGTCTCAAAGGGAATGTCAAACCCCGTGGTTGGTATCCTCGTTGGCGGTACCTCTGTCGTGGGGGCAGAAGGGGGTGAGGTGCAGGAAACGGCAGAAGAAGGCTTAGATAACCTCCCAAAAGAGAACCCGTGCTGTCCGTTCCCAACGACGACATGGTTGGTGACCAGAATGGAGAAGATCATGTAGACGAGGCGGAGGACGCATGGTAGGCCGAGCCATAATCCCGGAACGATCGAGCCGAGGCGGCTGATGTAGAGGAGAATCTGCCATGGGGTTGAGATGCCCAAGACTACGGCGACGCGGGGTCGGAGGACGGACGTGGATTGGATTTGCCCGGACGAGGAGGCAACGGGGCCGGAGGATTGTGTGACAGCTCGGAGGAGCTGGTGGTGGTGGTGGTGATCGGCGGTGACGGAGGGGTGGATTATGGGCTCGGTTGATATGGCTGTTGAGACAGCCGTGGTTGTCGCAGTCTTGCTGCTGTATGGAGGCGGGTTGTCGACATATCGAGGAGTTTGCGCCCTTGAGCGGGCGGGGGAGGTGGTCGTCGAGCCGGTGACATGAGTGGCATAGTCGGTGGTGGTGTTGCTGTTTGCGCCTGGTGCGCTATCCGCTGCTGCTGCTGCTGCTGCTGTTCGGCGCTGCTGCGCGGCTGGCATTGCGAGGTTGGACATCAAGACACTGGCTCTCTAGTTTATACCCATAGAGCAAATGGGAGTCACCTGAGAGGGGTTTCACCACTCCATGGAAAAGGCGAAAAGAGACGGGGAGAAGGCGGAGAGAAATCTATACTTTGGTGGCAGCGGCGGAGGGGCCGGATCTTGGTAGGTTCAGATGGACGGCGGTGATGTGAATTTCGATTTTGGGGTCTATCTTTTCGCTTCAGTGCAGGTGGCTTTCTCGTCGTCAGCGGCCCAGCGATCAATGTCGCAACAAGGGGTGCTCGATGCAAGCCTCCCACGTACGATTGCTACTAGGGGCTCCCCTGGCTACGAAAGCCGGCGTTTCATTGGTCACCATCTCTTCGAGAAGCCCAGACCTCTGGGAAGCTCCAGAGGTTTAACCTTCCGTGGTGGGGGTTGGTCTTGACTGTGGTGATAACTGATAGCGATCATTGGGTGTGCTGGACCCACATATTTTCTTCCGCGAGCGCCCGAAATTTTGAGAGCTTCGAAGCTTCCTGGTGTTGCGCTGTCGGCTACGCCCGCGCAACAGCTTCCGTTCGATCGACCGTTTCCGACGTCGCCGCCGACGAATACCGGCTCGTTACTTTATTGGTGCGGTCAACCTGGGCAACCGACAAGGCAACAAGCCGACTCATAGCACGCAGGCGGGGTGGCCATCAGGGTTGAGGTACTTCGGAAGCGGGGACCAAGAGGACGGAGGGAGAAGTTCAGGGTCAGCACAGTACGGCGGTAGCAACCATGGCTTCAGTATCTAGGTTAGGACTCGGTGCCCGGGGGGGGTTGTCGTCACAGGCCTCCGCTAGGATATCACCACGCGTGGTACGCGTCGCACCAACATGTTCCTTCAGTACATCCGCTGGACTCGCCAGAAGCGTCAGGAGAGCGAACAGGGCGCCGGCGCGCGACGAGATCCGTTCCCCCTCTGCTCAAATCGCCCAACAAAAACTCAATCAAAAGGTGACATCAAATGCCATCAATGTCATCTTTCCAGGTGAGCAAGAACCAGGACTCGACCCAGTTGGAGCCGTGCTGTTTGTGCCGTAGTCTGACTTGCTCGTCTTGCTCTATCTTTTAGGCACCTTTGTCCGCCCTCCATGGGACCAATGGCCCAAGGACTTCTCGTCCAGATTCGCCTTCTTCCGGACCTGGGTCACTGTCAAGGCCAGAGAGGCGGCGACCAAGTTCGCCATGGTTCATTCCTCGAGGCCCCGGTTCTTCAAGCGTGCCGCTCTCAAAACCAGCAACCCGCTCGCGATTCTCACAGCAAAGAGCCTCCACCGCTCCATGATGGAAGCCCTCGCCAGCGGCGACAAGGACACAATCCGCAAGGTTTGCGCCAGCAAGCTTGCTCTGCCTCTGCAGGCTACCATCGACAATCGTCCCAAGGACAAGCTGATGGCATGGGAGCTGGTGGAGTATACCAAGACGTGGTTTTATCCTACTGTTCTTTCGCACAAGCTCTCTCCCATCGAGAAGAGCAAAGATGCGCCCATCATTGAGCAAGTGGTGGTGGCCATTTCTAGCAAGCAGCGTCGGTATCAGTATGTTCTCGGGGCTGATGGGGAGCGCAAGAAGCTGGCTGGAACAGAGAAGGAGATGGATATTATTGAAAACATCGTCATTGGCTGTGTGGTTGACCCTCACACCTGGCAGCGTGATGAGTGGCGGATCGTTGGAAGCATGAAGGCGACGGACCCGAATGAGTGGAAGGAAGAGGAACGGCTGGTCAAGATGGTGGAGCATTCGGAGGCTATGAAGAGGTAGAGGTAACTGGGATGGCGAAATGGTCGTGTCAGTATGCTCGAGAAGTTGTACATTACAAGATGCTCTGCTGAAAACAGGGAGCATCTAAGGCTTAGGCAGGAACCAAAAACTCTGTCTGTGTAAATTCATATTGTAAGATGTTTGTCTCTGTATCTTGAGTCTTGCTTTGAGGCAACTCTTGCAAATGGGTGCTCTGGTGTTGTGTGTCTTCTCGGACTGTGTTTGTTTTGACCCCTATTTATGGACCCACATACCCCTGACCGTCTGTGGACAGAACCAACATCTGTGTTATGTTGGGCCTCTACTTATTCCGGGCTAAAACCACAACAAATACCGTTTTGCTGTATGCCTCGGCTAGACAAATAGTCAATAAAAACACGATGCATCATAGCTCAAACCGTGGTGGTGTGAGTCCATGCTTGATGTGGCTGTATAGCAACTGAAGAAGCATTTGTGTTTAAGGCACAGGTTGTAAACCGCAATCTGCTTGTGTGATTGACCGGCAAGCTCTGAATGTTAGCTGAGTCACTGCTGTGAGATGAGAGAACCAGATCACATCAGTCATGATGAAAGGATGTGTATAAGAAGGTTTAATATCCTCCACGATCTATACTGCACTGCAGTATCAATCATGTTGATGATTATGTAGAAATAGCTCAGCCCCATGGATATAAGCCTCTGTTCTGGGTTTCCTTATCCTCCTGATTGAGTGCTATTTACAATACACCGCTACTTTGAACTTTGACATCCCAAATGGTCCCATCGCGGCTCATTGTAAAGTGCCCTTTTCGTGATCAGCCACTGTTTTTTTTGTCTCAACATTTTGATCTTCAAGTAATTTAACCGCCTCTTAATTCCGGTTGTTAGTTTGAGAAGCTAGTAAATCATTGGCAAAATGCGATGGTTATCATTACGTCGCTGCTGGGTCGCTCCTTCCTCCACAGGGTGCTCGCTCCTTCCTTCTGTGTTGCGTTGAAAATTCTTTACTCAGCTAAGGATGTGTGGCACGTGCATGTGACCCAGCAAAATGAGCTCACTAACTTTATGAGGAAAAGTAAGGGAGGTTCAACATATCATCCCTTTGAGACATGCATGATGCAACCAACCATTTACCTTATATCTTCCCACAGCCTTCCCGTCAGCAAGTTCCGTGGGGAGGGGACCTCCTACTTCTCAATATCTTTCTGCCGCGTCGCTGTTGCTTTCAGACACTTCAGATCTACACCATGGCCGACGTCCAACAGATCCACAACACCATCAAGGCAATCGCCCATGACAAAACCCACATTTCCATCGCCCATACAGCCTATCATCAAAATGCAAGCCGTCTACGGGTTCTTCTCGATACAGTCGCCGTCCGTCACGGTTTTACCACGGGGACAGTCACAAAAGCAATGGTAGGCCCACTTGGGCCCGGCAATATCTCACCGTTGGTAGCTGGCTGGGTATATCGCCACCTCTGGAATCTCCGCCAGAGTGAGAGGATGTTGCAGGATATTATAAATCCCAGGGAATACGTCAACCTGAGATACAACATGGATCAGCTTCGATCCTGGACGAACACCATCCGTCGCCCACATGTCCATCAACAAAAATTGGAAGAAATTGCTAAGAAACTGAATGGGATTCCCCAAGAGCTTCGAACCCGTTTGCGCAAGGTCATCTCAGAGAATGCGAAAATCCAGCAGAGAATTGGCAGGATTGAGAATACCCCGGGTGGGGTTGATGTGGCCGCTTTGCTGGATGATTCGGACGAGGGAAGCTCCGGGGACGAGGATACATGTTAGAAGAGGTGGCCTTGACAGGAAGGCAGTTGATGAGCGGTTCTGCCTATCAGAATTAAAGCTGTGGTTTCCGTCTCTTGTTACCATGATCTATTTCTCTGAATCTTGTCTTCCTCTATTTATTTATTTCTATCCACCTCTGGCAGCTGGATAGGCTCTGTCCTGCGCTGCTGGGACGAAAGTAACCAGCTATTGATGCATCTTTGTCAATTTAGCTTTCCCTCTTTTCTTTTCGGTCAGCTGGAAAGGATTCATCTTGCTTAGCACGTGTCAGCACAGGGATGCTCCGATAGACTCTGGAAGGGAATATGGCGTCAGGGAGTGAGGGAATCAAGTCTTGGATGTGGGGGTGCGTTAAATATAAATACTCATGTGTTCTATGACTGTCATCTTTTACGCCATCACCGCTTTCCCTGATCAACACTTTCCCTGATCAACACTTTCCCCTGATCAACACTCTCACGCTTCTAATTTCTAAGCATCCGTCTCCCTCTCTCGCATAGTCTTTTAAGACATCCAGCATTTATTACCGACCACAGCAACTCTACAGCACTATGCCTGATATCGATGATATTCACGATGCCATTGTGACCATCGCTAGACTCAAGGTGGCCGTTTGCAGACGCCAGACACGGTACGTAGACCAATACAACGGTTTACAGTCGATCATAGGTGGAATTTCGCGTCAATACGGCTTCTCGCCTGACTCCGTAACACAAGCTATCACCGGTCAAGTACATTCAGGAGACCGCTCCATCCTGGTAGCTGGCTGGGTCTATCGAGAACGCATCAAGTTAGCCAACAGCCGTCGACGTCTCAAGTTAACAACCGTACCCAAAGAGTGGCTGATTCTCTACAGCATGGATCAACTCGGTTCATGGACCAACAGGCTCAACCGTGAGGATGTTTCTCAACAGCGGATTGGGAACAGAATTCTCAATGTCGAACTTTCAAGGTTCAGAGAAGGATTCCAAGGGTCGAGGCAATTACCCCTGACAGAGGGCTGATTGAGGGTGGGGATATTGATACTTCAGAGGTAGATGAGACAGAGGATGATAGCTCGGACGAGGATTGAAACATGGCCAACGCAGCAGGAGAGGCAATGTACTTTTTCACAATATATATACATCTGCCCCTTATCTGTGATACTTTCAACTATAAACTTCAGAACCCGAGGGTTTCATGACATCCCGCAATTCTGCCTCGCCTTAACAACTCTATATCTTTCCACTAACATCTTATTATAGCCGACTTGCGGATGCCATCATTGCTCCCATAGGTAAGCAAATTTCTATGCATATATCTTGCTCCCAGGACACCATACCTAAATCATTCTCTCTTCCGTTCTTAGCTTTTTAGGTGGATATATCTATGCTTGCCTACCATCAGCAACATATGCGGCCTCGCACATTAAAATACCGGTCTGGAACTACCTGTTGTACTATCAGCCGGACACACTAACTAGCTTCTACAGCACCTCTTGCTCTCTAGAAGCCTATCGGATTGACCCATCCTCTTTCAAAATCTTTATATTCTAGCTCTGTTGCATTACCTTGAGAATGAGATGCTGTCTGTTGGGTGAAACTTTTGACCTCTCAGCCACGCGTCAGGTTTTCAAACTCACTTGATCCATGTTATTGGCCCACACCACTCACACCATTGAAAAGAGTTCGGACGATTGATGATGACTCTGATATGAGTGATCGGTCTCAACCAGTGGGTTTTCGTTGCTCAAGGTGAACTGGGCTTCAAAATCTTTGCTCTGTTGACTGGACGGCTATATACCTTAACCTTGGCTTTGCTCAGCCTCTCACGGCATTCTCTCAGAGAAAGTGACCGATCAGATCCAATTCAACCCACACCTCCACCGGGTTCACCTCACTGTCACCTGTAATGGAACTACCCGATTTGTCCACTTTGCCCAAGGGTATTTCTACGAATAGAATGACACCATGGAGACCAACAAAACGTCTGCATTGCAACGTCCCTTTTTATTGTCTGGCAAAGGATCCCCCGCCAAGCAACAGATACTATCTGTATCTTCCGCATCAACAAAAGCTTTTGTGGGAAGCTAATTCAGACAACCTGCCCAGGGATTAGGCACTAATAAAAAGACGAGTTTGAGACGTCGCAACAGGTCCAGCACATGGAAGTTATCCCAGCCCGAGATTACAGAACTCACCTCGGTCGGCGCTTTGTGTTGTCAACAATCCCCAACCACGGTTGAATTATCATAGACAGTCTGGAGAAATAAAATACACAAAAAGGCCATGGCGTAGAACCGTCTGAGGTTTCCGGCTTGGGGATGTTTCCAGAGCTCAGAATGGGCGACGCTCAGGGGCAGTACACAACCCTGACCCCTCCCATGAAGAAGTGCATATCCCCCCTCTGTCATTCGTCTTTCTACGCACACCCGTCGGGGCGATTGGAGAGACACTGGGTAATACATTGAGACAATATCCCCTCACCGAGGACAACCCCAAGATCACGGCCCGAATGTCCCTCGCCGCAGTGCCCAAAGATTCTATGCGTCGCCGGAGCCAGCCAAGCCCAAGCAAAGGGCAAAACCGTCTGCCTGTTCCTACGACCGCATATATCCGTCAGTCTAGGTGTGGGATCTCTCTTGACTCAGGTCTTGATGCAACTCGGCAGGCAGACACATACCAACTAACGCAAGCTCTGGAGTAGTCTCCATAGAGGCACATAGACCGTGGCGCACGCCATTCCCAACCCTTGTGGTGGAAGAGGACCCGGACCAGCCGCTCGGTCACCTCTCTCTTCACGCCGTGCTGAGGGGAATAGTCGCATCTGAGCGTTTCATGACAGAAGGCAGGCCGGACAAAGTTTTGGTGTTGAACAGCAGGGACGGTGGTGTCGTCGATGTCGGTGTATGTTTCGATGAAATAACCATCGGCAAGCGCTTCAGTGCTATCAAGAACCATGCCGGCAGCCGCCAGTCTTGGGGCCTCGGCTGCTTGACGTGCTTGGAGGATCGCCAAGTTGAGCGAGCGAGTTGATGGGGCGGCTGCTGCCATGCTCACGCCGAGCAGAGCGGCGATGGTGTAGATTTTGGAGAGCATGTTTTTGGGCGGCGTTTTTGCTTGTTGGAGTTGGTGATGATGGTGCGTTTGGTGAGCAATCTTTTCAAAAGATGTGGACAGCTTGTCAACTCATTCCTGATTTCATCCTGTGGTGGCGCGCAAGCCCCTCGAAGTTTAACATGCACACGCGCCATGGTCTTGTATGAGCCCACAATGGCAAATGGTGTAAGCCTACGACGTAGTCGGGATAAGTTCAAAAGCCGCCACACTAGTGTACTAGAACAAGATGGAAAATGAGAGAATAGAGATAGAAAGAATAGTGACAGGGAGGATAGGGGCCAGAGAGGATAGGGGCCAGAGAGGATAGGGGCCAGAGAGGATAGGGGCAAAAAGGATAGAACTAGGGAGGATGGGACAGAGAGGAGAAGGATAGAGTTAGGGGAGGATGGGGCGGAGAGGAGAATGGCCAGAGAGAATAGAAGGATAAGGATAGAGAGGATGGGGACAGGGAGGACAAAGGTAGTGGTAGGGAGGATACGTGCAAAGGCACCATGGTCATGCACAGGTGAGTTGAATGACTGGAAGTGCAGACTGTGAATGGGTTCTGTGATAATTTGTAGCGTCAAGGAAGCAAATATGATGTGACAAGAGCAAAATACATAGTTCGTGTCCAGGAGAGAGGCCTCAGTCATGTCATGGCATCAAGACAGAACCACCAGAACCGCTGGTACCGCATAAACACTGTGGCGTTACAAGTACGCTATCAATCGGGCCGTGGTCCTAAGCCTTGACATCAATATGCCCACAAAAACTTGACGTGCAGGTTGTTGAGAAGTACCAGGTTGAAACGCTGGGATCCCAGGGTGAGTGGATACTAGAGGTGTTCGGGACCGAGATGGAGGACCATTCTCGGCTAGCTTCTCTGATGTGTGCCCAGGTTGGCGAGTGACTCGGTGGGTGTAAGTGAGTGCAGTGATATGATGTCTCTGCATATCATTTTTGACACCAGAGAGCCACAGCCTGGAAAATATAAAAGGCCTGATACTGACACTGATGGGTGATGGAGAAACTTCCCCTTGGACATCTTCTTCCATCCAAACTATCAGAGGCCTCACAATATCTCCAAGTACGCCAGTCAACATGGAAGGTCCGAGACACAACACCGCCAACAAACGTGTTCTACTTGCCAAACTCTTGGCAGTCATCACCAAGCACAGCCATTGGCAGCGAACTTGGTCTGATCATTGCTATGTTGAGGCTCAACTTCGCCAGCACACCAACCGTATTTTCGATGGCCTTGACCTACGTCTCCCTCTGATGGAAAGTCGCCCTTCTACAGAGCCAGCCGCCCCAGTGTCCCCAAACCTCATTGATCCCTGCTTTGTTCCCCTGCCATTGGACACAGAGAGAGAGGCAATCATCACGAACCCCTTCGCCATGCTTATGACACCGTCTCTGACCCCGCCAGGGTCGACGATCAGCTGGGATGTCATGAGCAACCCCTTCGCAGGCTTGCGGTCTTTCAGTGGCATGAGCGAAGCTGGATCTGTTGCCGATGCAGCCACCAAAAAACACACCTGCTTTCCCATGGACCTAGAAAGACCATACGACCAAGCCTTCTATCCAGAGCCACCTCTCGAGGGGCCGCCTGATCAGATTCGGCACCCTGAGCTAGATCCTGACGAAGAGCAAAACCTTCAAGCTGCGCATGATGACGACAAGGTTTGGCAACTTCAGATGCAGTTCGTGTTCAGGGGCGAAGTGATCGAGGTATGGAGGTGGCTCGAACAACGCAGCCGTTTTCTACATCCGTCTCATATCTCCCTCCAGTTGCAGCTGGCCGTCATCAAAAGTCTCGAGGACTACCTTGTTCCGCCCATTGCCTCTCAGCTAATGGATGCTGAGGCGGAGGCAAACGACAATCTTGCCTTGATGACGAAGGAGATCGCTGGCCTAGAGTTATCTATCGACAGAATGTCTCGTGTCTTGGATGAGCTGGAGCGGGAGGATCGGGACCCCTTTACTGAGCCCATTAGCGTTGTTCTGTTTGACTAGACGAGGCCGGATGAGGTCGGGTCGCTGTAACTTTTCGTGTTTCTTCCTGTACATCGATTCAGTACCGTTTCTGTCACACAAAGCCGCAAAACAAATGGGTGGGAGGAGTTACTTGGGTGAATACATACCTAGCGCGAATACAGATTGTCGATCTCCGCGGTGACTCGATGTTCAGATGAATCGCTCTCCCCCCCAGATGACAACCTAGCATCCTGTTTCTTGCTATCCTCTCTGGGCTTCTGGGACCACACCGGAGCTGTCGACCACTGCCATCTCATGGCTGCCTTGGCTGTCACCTGCCAGGCACCAGTAACCGATGACCCGGGGCCATGAACGCGGGACATGCGGCCGTTAACTGGAAAGGGAAGGCACCGTTGTCTCTCGGGGTTATTGCGTGCCGTCCGGGGAAATAAGCTTTCGGTTACTGTTTCTGATCGGAACGGCTCGAACGATGGGAGGGGCTGGAAGCCAGACTCGCCTCCTGGATGCTGCTGCGGTAGCATTCAGAGCCCACTACGAGCTGCATGGCTGCGTGTTTGGCACAGTGCGCGCTAGGTATGAGCCCCTACTCCGCACCTTTGATGTTCAGGTTGACATGGATCAGGACCTGAGAAATAGAGACTGACCGAGCTAGACTGTGATATCTCGGGACCGATGAGAGGATTCTCAGACCATCCTGAGGTCATCGAGCTTTGGTATTAGCGGGGTCAGCGACGTGTAGTCCAAACCGAGACCGTATCCTCGGTCCTGAGAATAACGAGGCAACGCTCAAACTCACAAGGCTGTCCTGGTCAGAGTGTGACTCTCAGGGAGGAGCTTAGGCGGAAGCTCTCTTGTGAGCTCCAGCAAGCAAGTCTCCCGCCCATGGAAGAACAGCTGGGAGAAGTGCCTTGAGAAAGCCAGGGAGCTCAAGGACATGTCAGAGGCAACATCTAAGTCTACTCGTTCGACTTCTCCGCAGCTATCTATATATTCTGCACGACTTCCCACCCATGGCAACACTGACTCCCCGGATACCACAGGCTTCTACCTCAACCTTTCACACACTACTACCATTGTACAACCACAGACGAACTCAACACGACCCCTCACCTCGACACTCAACATGTTCCGTACCCTTCAGAAGATCTGCCAGGCCGCCAAAGACCATTTCCGCAAGTACCGCCAGCATCTCGACCTCGGTCGTCCGGTGCAAAAACCTCCTCCCCGCGCCATCCTTAGTGGCCCCCAGCTCGATCGGATCAAGGCTCTGATTGAGAGGGGTAACACCCAAGCTAACGCCCTCAACATCCGCGCCCGTACCCTCATCGACCTTTCCCATGCTTACCGCCGCGAGAAGGCCCGCTTGACGGCTGAGATGGAACGCCAGGTTCGCCAGATGAATCACCAGTTCTCCTTGGCTGATCTCAACCACATCATTGCCCTCTACCCAGAGGACGACTCGACCCGCGCCGCCGCGGTTGAGTTCCACGACGTCCTCGAGTGGCTCAACAGCAACGAACGCGCTATGCGTCAAGGCCCTGCCGTCTCTGACGCAGCCTACCACATGGCCACCTGGAACCACAGCGCTCATCTCGCCGGGTTCCCCGATATGTACCCCAACTCTCTCACCATCGAGCAACTCGAGGTGGAGGCTGCCAAGGTCGAGGCAACGCTTGAGGCGGTCGAGAACAAAGTGTGGTTGATGCGCCGCGAGCTGGACAGTATCGTGGCAGTGGCTAGGTTGGTGAACGGCCTTGGTGGAAGATGGGACCCCTTTGCCCATATGCTCAAGAAAGAGTTGTACTGACTTTTTCCGGAGCGTCGTGGGGCTTTATGATCTGAGCTCTCCTGGGGCATCATGGAACAAACTCCACCCTTCCCTTTGTTTGCAGTTTTGCTCGGATACACGCTGGTTTTGTTCAAGCAACGTTGGAATTTTGCAATTGCCATGGCTTCTTGTGGTCAAAGACTTCTTTTAGGGACACAACTGGCCTTGACTTTGACTTTGAGGCCTCGCCTCTACTCGCTGGTATGACCGGCGATTCATGATCGGGAATGACACGGATGGGAAAGGGGTTTAGAGGAAAACGGAAAAGGCATCAAAATATTGGTTTGGTTTGGTTTGGATTTCATTGCTTTTCATGGCTTTTTAATTACAGCACAGATTGACAGCAATATCAAAAACACTTTGCTTTGGACTTTTGCTCCCTCTCATGATATGTCGTTGTTTCCGCTGGCCCCGGCTCCGAGCCCCAAAGCCTCGAGCCATCCGATCTCACCGGTGGAAAACGGGTGGCACCGCCCCAAATCACCAAGTCAAACGTCAACTGTCAAACGGTCAGCGTCAAGGGTAGCGCCATGTTCGTCCCATCCAAAACAGCCGGCTTCAATCAATGTCACAGTTGTGCCACGACAAAACGACAGAACGACCTGCAGGTGCGGAAATAAACTTTCAGAGCTACCATAAGGCTGGCTGGTACAGCAAGGGTGGCAAAGGACACCATCTCATCCGCCTCGCTACAAAATCACACCGAGCCAAGTTAGTTCCCTCTTGGGGGCTGCCAGGTGTACATCTCCTCGTCTTGACCCGAGCAGCCTCTTCTCCTCTGTTTGGAGTTGCGTAGCCAGCCTACCGGCCGTCATGCTCACCCTCATATCGACCCATTCGGCCCGTATAAGCTGCTGCAAGGCAGTCGGGCAGCTCGGGTATCTCACTGTTTACCTACCTCTTTCTGTCTAGTATGCTACCTTTGGTCAAGTTTCATGTCTGGGCCTCCAATGCTAGAGGAGGCAAATCGCTGTCAGAATGGGGCGTGGATGTGGGCGTGGCATTTCCATTGCTTCCATGCTTTGCCTGCATAGGATACGTCTGTCCTGCTCTCCATGTCTCCACGTCTTGTCTTTCTGGTTCCTTCCTGGCCTGCATTTGAACTCCCAGCTTGCATCAGACTGCTCCTGGCCTGCCATTTTTATTTATTTATTTTTTTATTTTTTTATATTTTTTATTTTTTTATTTTATATTTATTTATTTTTTATTTATTTATTTTTGATTTATTTATTTTCTATTTATTTATTTTCTATTTATTGATTTTTTTATTTTTTTATTTTTTATTTATTTTTTTTATTTTTTATTTTTTATTTTTTATTTTTTATTTTTTATTTTTTATTTATTTGTTTATTTTTTATCTGTTTTTTTTATTTGTTTTTTTTTTATTTTTAACTTTTTCCCATGCTTCCCCTGACAGATTAGGCATAGCACCCAGAGAAGCCCGAATACCTACGGCCGGATGGACATTCACTGCATGAAATCGCGCCGGACGGGGGAAGAAATCGAGCGGCGCCCCTTCCCTCGCCATGCAGCAGCCCACGCATTCCAGCCAGGTTTCCAGGTGGCGATGCAACTCTCAAGCTTTTCGCATGTACATGATCACATCGGGGGGAAAGAGGGGGTGGAGGTCATGCTCTGTCTCAGAATAATTGTAGGGCGCCGCGGAGGGGCAGGGGACAGGGGATGAGGGGAGGGGAAAAGGTTGACGCCACAGGACCGCATTTGATGCCAGGCATGTGATTTGGGGAGGAGGGAGACGTGTGAGTGGGGAGGGGAGCTGTGTTTTGTGGAATTGTGCTGATGGGATGGAGTGGCATAGCATAATTTGTGCCTGCTGCTGGGTGATGTGAATCAGGGGTTCAAGGGGGTGCCAAGACTTGAGGTCTTGGATGAAGCCATCACGAGATGTAATAATAACGGCAGCATGACAGGCGCTCACCTCCTCGAGATCTGGAGCACAGGGAAGAATTGGGACCGAGGCCTTGAAAAACAGCTGTAGCAAACGAATGTTCATGGTCAATTGATGCTATGTTGCCTGCCTTGCACCTTGCCAGCTCCAGGCAGGACAACCTCGGGCGAGGTTGAGTAACAACCATCGTACTCCAAATACCGATCAGCTCCCTCCCTTTCTCATATGTGCTCATCATCCTCATTATGTGCCCATCGTCCCCATTTGTGCTCACCACGCCATCTTCGCCTCTGTTCTCAACTCGCACCCACACAGACAATGGTTGTCAGTCCCTTTTAAAAGAACTTGCCCTTCGTCTTCGCAATGCCTGGCGCATCCGAAGAATCATCAGCAATGGCCTCATCCCTCAACACACCACTATCAACATGCTGAGTATCGCCAACAAGCTGCTGCTGGCCACCATCCACCACAAACGGCTTGTCCAACGCATCAAACCTAACCCCCTTTCTCTTCGCACTGAAGTACTGGATGCTCAATCTCAGCCCCAGCGCCCCAAAGCCCCAGAGAATACCTCCAACAGGGGCAGCAACAAAAGCCCCAAAGCATCCCCAATCACCGGTAAACAGACCCTGCTGCAACAGCAACAGTTCGGCACCCTTCTGCGCGTCCTGGTAGTACACCAATCCGAAAAGGAAAACAGTGAACAAGCCTCCCAGTCCGCCAACAACCACCTCGAACCCTCTCCAGAAGTAAAACTTCTCCGACAAGCCCAGGCACAAGACCGGGATTGTCGCCGCAGAGACAAGATCCGTGATGAGGTAAATCTGCAGAATCGACGGCGCCCTGATGGCAATAACCACGACCGGCACCATGATCACCACCACACCGGCCCTGATCCACCAAATATTCAGCCTGTTCCTGAACAAATCGTTGCTCGCCGACGTGACCATGGCAGTCTGGAAAGAGTCGAAGGCAGCAGTGCTCAGCGTGACAGACATGACAATGACGATCCCCACCACCCAGTTGGGAAGCTGCTGTAGCAGCGCAAAAAACGCAATGCCGCCGTCGACTGGGTTCTCGAGGTCATCGCCGGGGACCAGGCCAGCCCAGACGGCGACCAGGCCAGTGCAGCCGACTAGCACGAAGATGACGAGGATAGCGACGACGGCAAGGGAGATGCCCGTCCAGAGATCACGGTCAGTTTTGGAGGCGAAGGTGCGGAGCCAGAAGTGGGACTATGGTAGAAAGATCAGATGAAGTTAGCTATTGTTCGCTGATGTCGCTGAAGACCCAAGAAATGCCAAGATGTATGGTTGTTCACTGAGCGGTCCTTCCATGATCTTGACCCATTCTTTTACTGGTGAATTGGCATTTTGAAACAAACAGTGGGACAACGAAGAGACAGCAGCCAAAGGACAGATGCGACTGATGCACCTACCAGGAAGAAGCTATTGGTCAACAGAGCAACAGGCAGGATATACACCAGCTGCCACCCCAAGAGATTGCCCTTGAGCAGCCCAGACTCTTCAATCAGACTTGTGTCAATCTTGGTCTCGACACCGATGGAGATGGTTGCAATAACAACCAAGGCCATGACCATGGTTCCCTGGATGTTGTCGGTGAAGAACGAGATCTTGAAGCCGCCCAGCGCTACACACCACCATATCGTCAGCCAGTGCATCTTCCTTTCGTCGGCGCCAACACTTACAGGTGTAGATGGTGGTGATGATGCACTCCACAATCAAGACCGGCAACCCATCAATCCCCGCCAGCATATTCACCACCTGTCCCACAGCGCTCAACTCCGAAACCATGTACAGGAACAGCGTTACCAGCGTCATAAAACTCAGGAACAACGCCGCCGCATCTCCGTACCGCTGCCTCGTCCACTCCGTCAAGACGAATCCCTGCGGGCACTTCTTCCTGATGATCGGGCCGAGCCACGCAAAGGCAAACAGAGGCAGCGCAGAGCTTAGAGCGTAGACAATAACACCTTGGACGCCGGAAATAGTCGCCAGTTGAGGGTAGGCAAAGAGGATGGCCGAACCGAGCGCTACAAATCTTTGTTTTAGTACAACGCAGCAGGGGTGATGGGGAGGAAGGAAGGGTAGAAATTTTGGATAGCGGCAGCACGTTCCCCACGCAAGCATTATCTTGATCGAGTTATTACGGTACAATCTCAGCTTCGTCTTTCATCGTACCATCGCCCCGTTGAAGGGGAATGGCACAAGGTCCGACTCGGCGCCCGTAGTGAGCCGCAGTCCTTTCTTACTTCCTGATCTCCATGACTTGGCACTAATTAGGGGGAAGACTCCCCCAGGGCAACCATTTGCCAAGAGAAAAGGAGTGGCAAGAAAGAACTTGGTGAGTTTGGGTTTTTTTGAACGAACCTAATCAGCTGCCTCCGAGGGCTTGTGATGCTGTGTGTCGACCTCATCATGTCCCCCAGGATTGCCGTATTCGCTTGCTGCGGCGTTGTATTTCTGAGGCTGTCGTCTCAATGATGCTGGATTCGTGTTTTTGGCTGCCGCTGCCATTATTCTCTTTCTGTTCCTGCTTGTCCGCTGTTCACTCACCAGAAGCGATAAAGTTCAAGGCGAGCGGGACGGCTGCTGAAATGTTAGTCTCCAACCTCACTGTGACTTCAAACAGGGCGACAGAGAAAAGAATGAAAAGCGGAAAGAAAAAAAAACTCTACCAGTCTGCGTCCGGCTGCCGGCCAAGAATTCGCCCTTGGACTGGTTTCTGAATGTCCAGGCGACGCCTGTGCCGATGATACTGATGGACTGTCAGTTTTTGACTGTACGGTACGTGACGGCTTGGGCGACTAAGAAGAACAGACAGGAAAAGCCCATATGTCACATAGACAAGGGCGTGAGACGCCTCCCAGGATGGCTGTCCCATGGTGATGGTGGAGGTGATGCTATGATCTTGTTCTCGAGATGGGTGTGTCGTGGATGAAGTGGCGAAGAAAGTTTACCCTTTCGTCTGTCCAGTATCAAAGTCAAATTCAACTCTCCGCGCGGAACACTGACTGAGGATCTCTCTTATACATACTGTCTTGATGGAGCAAGAGATGAAAATTCCCCAAGCTCCTCGTGATGTGAAAAATCCCACGCTTTTAGCAGAGATTATTGCTTCCTCACAGCGCCGGTGCCGGTGTTCAATTCTGCCAGCCTTTCCACAGTCGGATTGGTTTCGTGTGTCAACAAGCTCCAAGCCACTTGGTTCCATCTTCTCCTCGGGAAAGAATGGCCCTCTCAACATTTTCTCTCATCCCCGGTTCGCCGGTTCGTGGGGGTCTTCCCGCCATCTTTTCCAAGTGTCTCTAACACTTGTCAGTGTATATTCACATGCTAATCTGTTAGCAGAGCAACGCAGTAGGTAATCGCTAAGTGATGCCAAGCCTGCAACCCGCCAGCCCCACTGCGACGCCCAGGCTTGTCACACCTGCAAGCGAACATGCTTGACAGCTGAGAGCCGGGAAATCCCTTCGGTAGCCGAGCAAATCAACGAGCATCTGTAAGCATAGCAACAATGCTCGTAAAGATAACAAAAATCGTCCAGAAGTTGTCCAAGTATTACACCAGCGTTTTACACAGTAAATTATATTAGGTACAAATATTCACTACACAAAGATAAAATCGTCCAAACATGATGAAAGTACCGTTTCCACGCGCAGTCAAAGTCCTCTACACATCGTGCCAGCAGTGTGCAAAATCACAATGTAGTGTTTGTTCCCAACTATCAAAAAGAATCGTCTAAGCATATCTCCATCATTACAAAAGTAGTGCTCCTAAATATTACCAGTCCGTTTATAAACACCATAACTTCATCCAAATATTTAAATCAGCAGGCTCTCCAAACGCTATTAAAATTGTCCAAACATCAAATCTACAATATTAATTTTAATTTTTTTTAAAAAAATAAATAAATAAAAAACTGGCCGTTAAAATCGTCCCAAGCACATTTTTATAATCACAAAAGCAGCGCTCCTACATATCGCAAAGTCCGTTCACAAACACCATAATTTCGTCCAAGCATCAAAACCAGCAACTGTTTACGAACACACATAAATTTTCGTCCAAATTTTGAAATCGGCATTGTTCACAAACGGCTACTAAAACCGTACAAGCATATCCTTATGATCGCCAAAGTTGCGCTTCCAAGCTCAACAAAGTACCCGTTCCCAAACACGCATAATTTTGTCCAAAACATCACATCATATCAGAACAGTGTTCACAAGCGCCATATAAATCCCGTCCAAGCACATCCCCATGATCACAAACATAAACACCACCAATGTTCACCACACACAAAGTTTAGTTTTTTTTCAAAAAAAATTAAAAATAAATAAAAACAATGCAAAGTTTCCATTTAGTGATAGGGCAGCAATTTGCCACAAGGCAATGCCCTAAGAATATCTCCTTTTGTTTTCTCCCTAATTCCTCTTTAGATCCCCCTCTCACCAGCAACGGAAAGCTCCAGCCCACCAAGCAAACTTTCCGACCAAGCTATCCCAGACAAAAAGGATATTAAAAAGAAACCCCGCCGAACCGATTCACCCAGGGTATCCATATGACGCCGAGAGAAACCAAATTGAGCGAAGGGGAGAGAGAAGGTGGGTGTGGACGAGATTACTCCTCCACGATGTCGGCGTCCGCCGGCTGGTAAAAGTACCGAGTGTGGTTTGGGCGAGGTTGGGCACAGCTCCGGTCGGGAGCGCGCCGCTGGGTCGGCGCAAAGGCCGGGTTGGGGTTGTACGCCTGGTGATGGCGGGTCGGGGTGTTGTTGGTGATGACCGGCCAAGCGCTCATCATGCCAGGAGGGGTGTGTCCCGGGGGGTGGACCGGGAAGCTCTGGGCAAAGCTGGGCGACACAGTCGCCGGGTGGACAGGCATGCCGCTCATGCCAACCGCAGCGCCATCGCCGGGGATGTACGGCATTGGGGGCATGGCGGGGCCCGCGTAGCGCTGGTAATGCTGGGGCTCGTGGTGGTGGATGGGCATCTGGTGGCCCTGGTAGCCCTGGTGGCCCTGGTTGTATCCAGAAGGGCCGTTGTTGTTATAGCGGGCCAAAGCATTGGCTGTGCTGTTGGGGCCATTGTAGATCTGGCCCGTGAAATTACCACGACGAATCGCGACTTGGTCGTCGTGGTGAGGCTGAGTCTTGTTGACCTCAGTTAGCTCATTCTTGCCGATGTAGCGGGTCGCAAGACGGGTCTTGGCTACCTTTGACTGCTTGCGCTGAACAGTCAAATGCTGGCCACGGAGGACCATGCCATCACGGTTGTTGATGGCATAAGTCGGCGTCTCCATCTTGTCGAACTCGACAAAGCAAAACTGGCGAGCAAGAGCACCTTGGTTCACAGTCAGTTTGATGTTCAAGAGCGACTCGATATGATGGACTCACCTTCTTGGTTATGGCGCTGCACCATGTTCACCTTGATGACCTCGCCAACATCGGAAAAGATCTCAAACATCTCCTCCTCGGTGGCGTCAAGAGGAAGGCCGCCAACGTAGATGGAGCGGCGATCGAGATCGTACTGACGGAGAAATTCTGTGTCACGATCAATGTTGCTCTTGGCAGCACGCTTGCGGACATCGAACATGTCGATGTAGTAGTCAGGGAACAGGGCAACGGCCTTGTGAGTCGTCGTCAGTAAGTACAGTAAAATCCCGGATGGACAGTCAAAGAACAGGCCTACCATGCTGAATGTTTTCTTCGAGTTGAAGCTGGAGTACTCAACCAAAACGGAAGAGGGCAAATCCATGCGCTCGCAAGTGTCGTCATCAACAACCTCAATGCTGCTGACCGTTCCGAAAGTCTCCATGATCTTGCGAGCCTCATCAATCAGGATCTCGCTGCAGTCGCGCTTGTAAATTATGAAAGATCCTTTTGACCCTCAGGTCAGCAATCACGATCAACTCCTTGGCCAACGGGATCGGAACTTACGGTTGGACTTGACCATCTCAGTGCGGCAGGGGCGGCCAAAAATGGGGACGCCGCGACCTCTCTCGATCGCATCCTTGGCCTCCTCCTCCGTCGTGTATTGGACGAAAGCAAACGGCAAGTTGTTGTGATCACGGCGGATCTTGACAAACACAGTGCCAAAGCGACTGAAGGCGCGCGTAACAGCGGCCTCAAGAGCGACATCGTCGCGGGGCTCAGCTAGACTGCAAACCCATCAACGTCAGAAAAGATGTCCAGATTGCAATGTGCTGAAGTTGGGGTGTGCAGAACCTACTTGGCGACGAAGACACACGCGGTGGACGGGTAGACGTCCTGGGGGTCAATCTCAGCGCTGTTGCCAGAATCGCTGACAGACATGGCCCAGGAAACAGAGCGAGAGGCAGAGAGGGATCCAACAGAGTCGCCAGCGACCTCGACAGCCCAGGAGACTGAGCGGCGATCGGTGGGAGAGGTCGAGGCAGTGGCCTCGGCGGCAGCAGACCTGGTGGAGGTCTGAAGGACCTCGTCATCCTCCTTCAAGGCGGCGGACGGACTACATATTGGTGACAGATGTTAGTCCATTGCGTTGGTTGTTTTTGGGAGAGGAAGAGGAGGGTGAGCTGTGGGGAAGGGGTAAATAAATAGAGGGAAGACCCCTTTTTTTCTCCGCAACTCTGATCTCATCATCGGTTACGCACACCTCTCAAAGAAAGGTTAAACCAAACCGGTGTAGGAGATGAGATGGAAAGTCGGACAGAGACCCAAGGAAATGAAGGTGTAGCAACGAAAAGTGCGAGGGACTTCGAAACGGCATTTGAAACCATTATGCTTCTCGCTGGCTCAGGACTCCTGAAGAAAACCAAGTATTTTCCTGCGGAATCTATTCTGGAAAACCCAAAGGATTCAGAGGCATAAACCTAGGCTATTAAAAAGCCCGGCTCTAAGCCTGCTATGGAGAGGGAAATGCACCAATGTTTGGAAAGACAGATATAACTGATGACAAAGACCAGAAACACCCTACTATCTCTCTCACCAAGGGTGTGTGTGGGATGGGAAGGAAGTGATACTCCTGTTGGGAGTTTCGTTTAATAATCCCGCCCATTTTATTTACCAAATAACCGAGTAAATATCGGTAACTCGGCAAACAGGATGGCGGAATCATCTTACAAAACCCAACTAGTGATTGCTCGAAAGGGCAAGACTCACTTGAGCCTGCTGAAAGAGCGAGAAGAGTGGTCTGGAGATGGGATGGAAGAAGGCGAAGACTTACACAATGGGAGAGCGCGACTCGGCGGCTTCATCGTTGGCCTCGACCTTGCAAGCAGCACTGGAAGATGTCAGTACATTGACCAACAAAAAAACAAAACAAGGAAGAAAGGAAGACTTCACTCGACATGTCGCCAACACAGCCGATGTCCAATGTGCGAAGGGTATGGGGTGCGAGGAACGGAAGGAAGACGTCGACGATGCCAGGCCCGCAGATCCGGAAAGAGTACCCGACTGCGAGGCCCACCAACGCCAAGGCCGAACTTGAAGGGGTGAAAAGGGGAATAAGACGCCGAAACTGAGAGGGCAAGTCCAAGCGGACAAGATCGAAAACGTACAGGGAGGCAGCGAGCGACTCCATGGCGGGAGAGGAGGCGGCGGAAAAAACTATCACAAAAGAAGTCAGCCTCACAGATCATTGGTGCCGACGGAACAGGTCTCTTCACTGACTCAGCTCATCGGAGCCGGCAACGGACGAGGGCTCGCTGGCCGAGCGGGAACGGCCAGAGGCGACAGGGCTGCTCTCGACGCCAACGACAGCTTCCTCGGACCAGGTCACCGAGGGCGAGGACATCTTGAGTTCGAGTTTGTTCTGAAGACACTTTGTTAGCGACTGGTCAATTTGGATGGAGTGATGATGAACAGTTCATGTAGGGTGAAGAAGATGATGGATGGATGGGGTGGCTGACAGCAGATGGTGGTCGATGATGGTTGAGAGTGCTCAAGAGGGTCGAGGACGAGGTGGTTGTTCGAAGGAAAGGGAAGAAAGGGAAGAAAGGGAAGGAGGGCAGCAATGAAGCAGGGAAGAAACGAAGAAGTTTGCAAACGAAAAGTTGACCCAATCGATTTACAAAGCTAGGTGGTGAGTAGCCAGAATCGTCAGGCCGCTGAGATCAACCAGTCACCTTGGCCAGAGTCGTCAGGCCACAACCACCTCAGCCAGAGCCTTGAGGCCGCGGCGACTGCTAGTCGGGCGTGGAGGCCAAAAGATGAGGTCGTAGATGGAGGTGGTTATGAGAAAAGAAAGCCATCGGAGGAAAAAATACTTACTGGTTGTTACTTCGATCGAAATATCGAAGAAGGAATGGTGAGGGAGTTGAGGAGGGTATCATCCAAGGAAGAAGTGGGAGGACGATGGAGAGAGAAGAAGAGAGAGAGCAGGAAGATTTAAACTAAATAAAATATGGGTATGATGTCGTCGACAGGTCTCGGCAGTGCGGTCTGTGGGTAGGATATCGTCGACAGTCTCGGCACTGCGGTCTGTGTGTATGGTGTTATCGATAGGTCTCGACACTGTAGTCTATGGGAAGGATGTCGTTGACAGTCTCGGCACTGTGGTCTGTGGGTATGGATGTTGTTGACAGGTCTCGACACTGCGGTCTGTGGGCAGGATCTCGTCGATGTGTCTCGACACTGCGGCCTGTGGTGGTAGGAACACGAGATGCCTGACGGGAGTGTAGCCTCCAAAGCAAGGTGTTCGACCTGTGCAAAGAGGAAGTACGCATTATCAAGGCTCTTAGGTCAAGGCTTTTGGTTCAGGCATCTGTATTATTTAGCGGTAACGGGTCATGGTAAAGCAGCTATTAGATCTCAAAGCAGAGAAGACTACTGGCACTAGCCAGGCAGAATACTACGCTTTGGGAGAGGAGATGATGGGGGTAAGCCAACTGACGACTGTCTGCTGGATGAGATGACTCATTCTCAAGCAAGCACTCGATTTGAAGGCAGGAAGAGAGCAAATATTCTTCTTCTCGGTATTTTCAAGGGTCTTCAGAGGTATTATTTGAGCCAGGTTTGAGTTTTCATAATGTTAGGTACGGTGATTTGGAGAAAGTGTTGTTCCTGGAAAGGGATAGAAGAAAGTGATGCCTTTGTGCTCGTTGATATCTCATTGAGTCGCTCTCATGACTAAGGAATCACATTCACGAGTCGTTCAGGGCCCTGGGTCATATCAAGAGCTTTTTAAAGCACAGGAGGTATCTTCTAACAAGTGAGAAAGACTCTCACCAAGTCTAGAAAGGTCGTGCGATGAGACGAAAGGAAGACAAAGTGGGAGAGAGATCTTCTGGGCGTAGGAAAAAGAATAGCTTGGACGAAGTGAAGGGGGCAGTGGAACAGAAGATAGTGCGGCAAGGCGGCAGAAGAGTCTCGTGAATACGGAAGAGGAAGAGTGACACTGCTTTAGAGAGAAGATTGTGGGTGTGATTTTGCTGAAGGACAGGGCAGCATCAACCATCGACTATCAAAGCAACAACGCCATGCTCTACATACTGTGCAGCTACCATAGGGGTGTGAAAATCCCGTAAAAATTCCTCAACTTTCCTGTTTACCATAAGCTTGTTGACGACATCATCCTCCACATAATAGGCTGGTTGCAAGGGAGCATGAAAAGTCCGTAAAAAATCCGCAACTTCCTTGTGAACGGTAAATCACAAGATGAGCTCCGTTGACCTCTTTTTTGTTGTCTCCATGCCATAATGCACAGGGTCTCTATTTCTGTCTTGGTAGATATGCTTGAGAGTTGAAGAAGCTCAAATCCTGATACATTCTTGCATATCGTCTTAAGACTTCGGTTCTCGGTAAATTGAACCCAAGGCATCTCTCTTTGCTGGGCCTGACGATGTCATGCCCACTACAGTGGACGAGCGCCAGGGGAGGATGAAAGTCTTGTGAAGAATTCGCAACTTCCATGTGAACGGTGCTTCATTAGACAACTTATTGGCGATGTCATTCTTCAAATAATAGGCGGGTAGCATAAGAGATTGCAAAGTCTGCGAAAACTCCGCAACTTCCTTATTTACGGCACTTCAACAATGAGGCCGTTGACGATGTCATCCGCGGAAAAGTAGGCGGGTAATATGGGAGCGTGAAAAGTCTACGAAAAGTCCGCAACTTCCTTATATATACAGTGCTTCATAAAACAATGTCGTTAATGATGTCGCTGATGATGTCGCTGATGATGTCGCTGATGATGTTGTTTGTGTGTTGTACTCGACATAGTAGGCGGGTGTCAGGGGGGCAGGAAGAATCCGTAAAAACTCCGAAAACTCCTTATGTGCGAGGCTTGATATCAGGGCAACATCATCCTCAGCATACTTGGCGAGTACTATAGAAGTAGGAAGAGAGAATTCACATCTTTGTAGCTTTATTAAGTACCAGGCTCCAGACAGCAAGTTCATGAGAATATCACACTCATTATAATGGGTGGGTACCATAAGAAAAAGGTGCAAAGAAAAAAACACCGCTTCCTGAAAATAACACACATTGCTTCTAATCTAGGACTAAGGGCCACTTAGGGAGTGTGCTAGGGACGATAATAACCATGAAGATACCTAATTTCATCACCTCTTGACCTCGGACCTGGGGAAAAGTCATTGTCAATTTAATCGGCTAGACGCACAAAAGGCGGGGAGGATGATGATGCCACAAGGGGACGCATGGGGAGGCTTATGAGGCAAGGGATGGCTCTCACGGGGCACTCGGAAGAAAGAAAGGTATACCATCATTGTAATTTTCTTTTTTTCTTTTTATTATTTATTTTATTTTATTTACCTTTCCTATCCTATCTTTCCTTTCTAACCATTCTTTTCGCTTTCGGTTTATAACTAGAGCTTGTATATATACCTCTCGGTATTTCAAATTCTAATCTTTAAGGGTATTATATTTCACAAAATAAATCACGAATTTGTGAACGAATTGATTTAAGGCTTAGGATTAAAGTTAGGCATTTGATATATACAGGGATTTTATTACCTCTACCTTTATTACTATTGCGATGATATAAAAAATTATAAGGCTGGAATAGGCTATAGAAATTACCGCTAGCTATCATTACGAGTCGGCCTATACCTATCCCTAGAGAGTTTTTCATAAGATCGTTACTACTACGCAGCGATGGCCCTCGGCCAATAAACGTGACACACACATACACACACACACGCGCACAAAAGGCGTGCGAACCAGATCGCGGTGGGAATCATTGGAGTAAGGCAAACTAAAGAAAGCCAAAACTTCTTCAGGTGCAGAACCCTATGCAGGAGGAGATCGTTGTCATATCGCGCAGCTGGGGCAAAGAAATCTCCCCAAGAACAATGAGACCAGAACCATAAAATGACATTGAAAAGCCTTGAAACATCAGCAACTTTCCAAGAAACAGACTTCCCACACAGTACGCTAGATTACTATGTGTAAGGTAAGGGCAAGATGACGATGTGCAAGACAAGGTTATGCAATCTTTTGAGATGGGCCATTTAGTTTGCTTTGATAGAGAACCAGGAGACATCCAGCACTCCACTCTCTTGAATGGAATACATTTAATAAATCTTTACTCTTCAGCAAGAGGTAAACAGATAAAAGAGGCGTTGCGATATGAATAGTCAGCGTGATAGCATAACATGAACATAGGTATGCGGAATAACAGGGCTTGGGAGATTGCAAAAATGGCTCCAGTTGTGAGGCTTTCTTTGCAGAAATAGGGACAGGGCTTCTTGAATGAGGGAGAGCTGAAAGATCACATCTGCCCAGCAGTTCGCTGCCTACCGAACAGAGGCATCTGTCACAAGACAGGCAACCCCTGTCCTCATAGTGGAGAGATGGGTCCGGGGATTGAACCTTAAATCAACGACCTTTGAAAGACCCCGGGACTGAAATGTGCAGAACACACCATCTTCCATCTTCCATCTACCAGGTAAGCTATGGATGACCTGACGCTTTTGCTAAAGAGGATGACGGCATACAGACCGGAAGTCTGGGCAGACTGACACCGATCATGGCCTCAAAGTCATTAGACAGTTGATGCAACAACAATAGATAGAATTGAAAGAGGCAAGGCCTGGAAAGCAGGGATGTGGTGGCTTTCTTCTCTTGCCCGTTTCGACTGCTTTCATGCTGCAGGACATGCTGGTTTTTCAAACACCCACTTTCTTTGATTTTCGAAACTGGAGAACAGCAGAAGCAAGCGTATCTAGGTAAGCACATTTTCGAAATCATGCCGACTGGGTGTTGATTTGCATTTGATTCCATCCTTTTGACAACAGTTGGTGATAAAGTGGGTATGCACGTGATCTGCACCTGAGGCGCATGTCGTAGGAGATCAACGTCACAAGGCGGCGAGGCTGAAAGTATTCCCGGTACACAGCTGCATATCCTCCATTTTGAACCAAGAAAGCATCCAATAGAAATCGGGTGCAACAAGTCACAATGGAGGTCAGATGTAGGGCATAGCTTCTGAGTGCAGTATATAAGTATTGAAGAAACATAGGAAGGCCAGAGTGAAGAGCTCTTGGCTAATCGGAAATGGAATGCTACACAGGGACTCAGATGTTGTTGATGGGAAAGTCCAACGCAGCAAGTTTGATGCAACAACTCCAAATACTCCACCTTTTTGCCGCTGAAAGAAGATCGGCGCACCGCTGCAGTGTGTGCCTCTGTAGGTACTGGTCTGTATTACCCATCCCTCTGCATTTGCTTGAAGTAGTATTGACACTTCGTCCGAGCATACACTATTTTACGACAACCTTGCCACGATCTATGCTAGAAATTCTACATAAAGACTTATTAAACTATGGAGTTATGATCAAGGTACGAATCGATCATCTGGCATTTATGCCGAAGGGTGCGCCAAGAACTAGCGGGAAAACAATTTTTTTTTTAAAAACAAGGCCGTTTCTTACGACGATCGGGCAACATACTTCCAGTAGGCGGTGAATTCCTTAAGATGGTAAATGCTCGGACGATGCCAGTTTCACAACACTACCTACATGAAGCCAGCAGAAAGTCCATATCACACAGCAGCCAGTCACGCACACACATAAAACCACAGCGCCCGACAACTTGGGTCCAAAGACGTTATGCCTTGGCAGTGCAGTTGAACCAATCATCGTTGAGTGGCTGAAGAGGTGCATACGGGTACCGTACCCGCGTTTCGATATCTCGCTCTCAGGTTACACACACTTTGATGGATTCCATGCCAAGAGAAGCTGGCGTGGAAGCTGTGAGGCGTGATACAAACTAAGCAAAGCACAAAATTAGGCTAATCCTGCAGTGATGGTGCCGAGCCATCATCCGCTTACAGTGGTGCTTTGATGATGAGAATGCGTAGCCGGTATATCTGGAGCTTATGTCACAGTATCAACTCTATTTAAGAGTTGGAATGTATTGACAATGCTCTTTCAAGGCTTAAGGTGATCTTTTTCTTTGGACTGAGGTCAAGCCCAAAGTGTCGGGTATCTCCTGCATTTCTCTAGTAAGGCAAGCAGCCTTTTTGCATTGTTTGAAGCAGTCCCCGACATTTGCCTGTGTCTCTTTACAGAATTTATGAAGGTATTCTGCCCGTTCATTGGGTATACCAACTAAGGAACCGTCTGCGTCTAGGAGTAGGGAGTGGGTGGACCAGCGGACATGTAGTGAGAGTCCTACAAAAGGTGGAAAGCAATCAGATTCGTCCGAACAGATCTTTAAAAGTGAAGATATCTCTGTTTGGAAAGCACAACTTAGGTACTCTGAAAGTGAAGCTCATCACCTCCAGTTATGGGCAGTACAAGGATATTGTTGACCATTGAAGGCTTGATGGAAAAGAAAAGAGTCAAGGGACAGAGTAGGCCATAGACCAACCCTCTACCCACAGACTTGCATATAACTATTCTATGCGAATAGTTCTTATAAGGGCTTCATATAAAGATTGACTTGGTTGCCTGATGAACATCTGTCTGACGCTCTGTCGCGAGATATTTAGGATGTGAACGCAGGAGTACTTGGCCGAAAAGACCATCGCTTCATCTCTCCTTTCTGTCGTAAAAAGAGGTATTACGATCTTGTTTAAATCACCAGTCTCCATATATTTAATGGATTGGTATATCAAACCTTCTGAAAAGGTTGCTCACCATCCATTCAAGGACAGAAACTTGGAGTCGAGCCAGGCTATCCCGAGAGCAGGCCAGATTGGAGCTCTGTCAAAAACACCAAAATGTGGCGAGATCAAAACAGAATAGTGTTGGCACGACACCGGGTGCTTTTTGGTGCTGGTGCCGCAGTGTTTGAGGTGAAGAATGGGAGGACGTTGGGTTTGATGATGGTCTGGGTTGGGGTTGAGCACAGGCAGGGCCTTGGCGCAAGAGCCCCACGTGAAAACCAAATCCGAAGCTATATGACCCTTTC